AGTGCTTTACAGGTTATTCTGTGGGCAACTATCTTATATTACTGTGGCTTTTTCTGCTTTCATTATCTGATAGACTAAGCGCTGAGGAGAACAACTTCATTTCCTAGAATAATTATAATTGCATTTTGAAATTAAAATTAGTTCTGACACTTGATATAATGTGCAATTTTGAGTCTTCTGTCACTTGCTCCCATTAGGATTTTGCAGGTGTAATAAATATTTTGAATAGTATTAATCTGGAAGGACAGGTTAGTTATATATATTTAGATCTGCATGAAATTAATCGTGACTCATGATTAGCAATCCAAGCCTCATCATAAACTGAAATATAATATAATATAACAGATGTTTCAGTGAAAACAAAAAACACTTGCCTTGTTTCAATCATTCTCTGATATTCATATGAACATCATCTAGCTATTAGTTTAAAAATAATAATAATACTTGCATTTAATATAGTGCCTTTCACATTGAGAGGACGTGGTTGAATACAGCAGCCAATTTGTACATAGCAAATAAAATATGACTTTGTTTTCTGGCTTGAAAATTGTATTAATTTGTAAATGCATAAGTTAAAATGGAAGGAGGGCTTATGGCTGTAAAGGCACTCAATGGATTTTGTTACGCTGTATGAGAAAGTCCCTGAATTGGCACAAATAGCACAAAGAACAGTTATAGATATGGCCTTGCTCATACAGCACAGAAATAGAATTCTAAATACTGAAGCAACAATAGAAATTATACAACACAATATATTTTATATTTATATAGCGCCTTTCGTGTTGGGAGAATGTTCCAAAGCACATGGGGGATGTCTCAATGTTTATGGACTATGTGCAAACCATGTACAATGAGTAAACGAAAGTAAATGCATTAGGTACCATATGTAAACCATATGTAAACCCACAATTACAGTGGTAATTACAGATTTTTTTTAATGAACTATGTGCAAACTATCTGTAAACCCATATGTATTTTGCATAGTGTGCAAACTATGTGTAACAACAGCTTGCATTTATATAGATGTGGGTTAACGTATCAGAGCACTTAACAGTTAAGAACATGAGAATTTGCTAGGCAAAAGAAGACCAAGGTCCATCTAGTTTTCCTTCAACCATCGTGGCAGTCGTTTGACATGTTGTGCCCCAAACTATATATTGTAAACTATATATACAGTTGCAAAGCTGGACATCGAGACGGGGAGAGCGGGGAGGTGACTGAAGGCACTGTCAAAGAGGATAATCTTCAAGTGAATCTGAAGTTGAACAAAGAAAAGTCAAGATGGAGGGATTGAGGCAGAGAGTTCCTGAGAGTTAGAAATGGCTCAAAACTGTAAGGAGTTGCATCATTTCACTCTGTGGAAATATGTAAACACCTTTGTAAAGAGGGAATTACAGGATCCCTTAATTATGCATTTAACAACCAACGAAACATATTGTTTGTAAAGGACATAATTAATAAATGAATAAAAGATTAAGCTGTTGAGGTTGTATTAAAAGATACCTAGAATTTTCTTTGTGTTCAGGATTACAAACTCAATACATCAGGACTGACTGTCAGGAACTCAAGATCTGCTTCTGGTGCTGTGGAGAAGGAATTTCCTGAGTCAGGCTGTGATGTGCAGCAGCATTTCCTGTTAGTGACTCTGAGCAGCTGTCAGTGAGTCATGTTGCAAACCGCGGCTTTCTAAAACACATTATTATGTACCCATTTATACATTTTCTCTCAGATTCACAATTTACATTCACACGTGAATTGAGGGGCTCTGTCTATCTTTGTCTGTAACATCATTTGATTTATGCCAATGCTCAATGGTCCTGAATGGGGAGATGCTGTGCTTGTTTCTGATTCAGTATCAATGGGATAATGTAGGTGCTGGGGTTCAACTTTATGCTTTGAAGTCTGCGATTGCAGGTTGGGGGGAACAGATGGTCCTGCCTCACCACACTGCTGAATGATTCAATGTGTAAAAAAATATTGTAGTAATTTAGATTTTATACATCCAAATTGCTCCAAACAAGGGTATTTTTAATGGCTTTTCTGCAATTACTACCTGTGAGCAATTTTGTCATCACAGTTTGATGTGTTCACAATGTAGCCTTTGTTTTTTTTGCTACGTCGGCAACTGCACTAACTATGTTGGCTAAAAGGTGGCATGTGAACCAGGCAACACTCTTTAATAATAATAATATTAATCCTTGCATTTGATATAGCGCTTTTCACGTCGGGAGGACGTCCCAAAGCGCTTCACAGAACACACTGTAAAGTGAATTGACTGTATATTTGTGGGCGAACGCGGCAGCCAATTGCACACAGCAGTGTCCCACAAACAGTCGTAGATTGAAAATGACCAATTTATTATTCTTTTTGGTTTTTTGGAGGGATTATTATTAGGTGTGTGGAGTAAGGAAACTTGCCCAAGGTTTTGCCCTGCCTGGAATTGAACTCAGGTCTCTCATTTGCAAAGCGAGTGCTCTAACCACTGAGCTACAAACTCCACAGGACTCCACAATTTTTTCGATCTTTATTCAGGTCCGAAGGAATTTCAGGTTTTGGGCTCTTTATTGGTTTCACGACATTTGTTGATAATAGGGAGACACAAAATCGTTATAACTTGGCTTCAATTTACGGAACTGAAATCAAGTGAAACTTCTACTGGACGTTCATACTTGGTGCGTGCAAACACTTCATTGGGAGGCATATTCTGAAGCAGAGGCCCAATCGAAAGTCATGCCCAACAACTGAGGTATCAATAAAATACAACACAAAATTACATTTGTATAGTGCCTTCGTGTCAGGGACGTCCCCAAGGTATCAAAGAGCAGTATGCAATTTGTATCTACTTGTATACCTGCTCCAAGTCCCATGCCATTCATGCTCTACAATTGGTGAGTGAGCTTTCAGCTATTTTAAGCCCCACTCTCTGGAGAGCCCCTCGGGCTCATTCCCTCCATCCCCAAATTCAAAGCCCATCTCAAGACATTTTTGCCTGTGCTTTTGATTATCTTTCTCCTCCACATTCTCTTTGGCTCCCACCACCAGCTTGGGTGCTCAACCAGCAATGTCAAGTACTTTGAGATGTACTCCTGTGAAAGGCAGTACATGAATGCAATTGTATTGCATTGGAGCCAAGTGGAAAGAGTGTCTGGAAATTTCTTCCTCTAATGTATTGTGTGAATAATTGTAGCACTCACTTACCACCAAGCTCAATATCAGAGGTGTGAACAAGATTAATGTGTTTACAGACATGCTGCTGTAAACAACACATAGTGTTAGTGTTGATGTACATCCTGCTTCCTTCCTTCCCCCCGCCCCTTGAATTGAATAACTTTTTGAAGTTCATAAGCTTGAAGTTTAATGGGCAAAAGGATCTTTAATGTGCAAAAGCATCTTTGTTTCTGTTTAAATAACAAGAGCAATATTTACAAGGTGCAAAGCAGGCTCTGGAAATGATTATCTCTGAGGGAGGAACCTGACAGGATGTCTGTGTGTGAGAGACAGCCAACCAGACCTATTTTAAGTAGAACTTGCTGTTGAAACTACATTTTGAAACTGCTAATTTTTCTATTTAGTTTTCTGTTCTTTTCTTTCATTTCGTTTACTCAATTATTTGTATTCTGTGCTGTGTATCTGCTAGGATCTTATTCCTAATAGATCTTTAATTAAATTATTATAATTGGAAAATGAAACTGGAGTGACTTGGTATTAATTCACCAAATATTTGAGGCTGAGAAACAAAATACTCGTTTGTGAATTGTCAGTTCTGGGCCAATCTGAACTTGTTATTTGTAGTTATCATAATAATAATAATAATAATAATAATCCTTGCATTCGATATAGTGCCTTATCATGTCATTGAGACCATCTCGAAGCGCTTCACAAAATATATTGTAAAGTGAATTGCACGTGTATTTTGTGAGCGAAATGCGGCAGTATTTTGAGGGGATTATAATAATAATTATCTTTGCATTTGGTATAGCGACTTATCACATCTTCGAGACGTCTCAATGCGCTTCGCAGAATATACTGCAAAGTGAATTGACTGTGTATGTTGTGGAAGGAAGGCGGCAGCCAATTGCGCACAGCAGTGACCCACAAACAGTCGTGAATTGAGTGACCAAATTATTATTATTAGTAAGGAAATAAGGAAACTTGCCCAACGTTTCGCCCTGTTGGGAATCAAACCCAGGTCCTCTCGTTTGCGAGACGAGCGCTCTAAGCTACAGGACTCCACAAAAATGATTACCCCAGAAAGCGTTCTCCAATCGACTAACAACTGAGTTTCTACTTACTGCTAGGTAAATAGAGGCGTGTGGAGTAAGGAAATTTGCCTAAGGAATCGATCCTGGGTCCTCCACCTTGCGAGGCAAGCGTGCTATCCACTACAGAAAGCACAAAACACTGCACAAGCTTGAGAGGAAAGATATTGGGTACAATTGGAAACTGGTAGCCCTCTTGAAATAAGCAGTCTGTGGAAGACAGTAGATAAAGCTCAAGACAGAAAAATATAATAAACCGATGATGCTTTAGTTGGTAATAATCTCATTCTTTGTATTCAGACACAGAATATGATAAGTGAATAGATCAAATTAACTGAAGCAATTGAAGCAGGAACAAATTAAACCTAAATGCTCCAAAATGGATCAATGGGATAATACAAAAGGAGAAAGATTGTCGAACTTGTTTGGAGAAAGGAGCAAGTCACTATTGGGCACAATACAAGACTGCACAGAATGAGGTTAAAGAAAAGTTTAGGGGTGCCAAGAGAGAATTGTAAATGGACATGGCAGCAAATATAAAACATAGTCCCACAAAATTATTTCAATATTATAACAATAAGAGGGTAATCGGGGAAGATGTTAAAACCCTAAGGCAGGGAAGAACAATGTTTTTGGTCATCGAACAAAGTATATTTTCTTGATTGAATATTTCTGCAATATATCAAGAAAATATAATCAAGAAAAAACTGGAAACTAAACATTGATTTAAAACAGACTTACCTAGACTAGGGCGAATGTTCGCCAAGCTACTTCTTGATGGCCCCATGAGGCACTACTGGCCTAAGGGATTTAAAATGACTTGAAAAATAATGAACAGGAGATAGTGGAAGACGTTCACATATCCACATCTGAAGACTTTCCTCATCGACTTGCCTAAGGTCACCTCCCCCTCTCCCTGGTTTTGTGTCAAGCTCCAGCACTGTTAAGCGCTCCGAGATGCTACTCTGCATTGAAGTCGCTATATGATTACAAGTTGTTGTTGAGATATTAAATGACAAATCAAAATCCTGCCACCCAACATCCAGCAAACAATGCTTGGGCTCCAGGACTTTGATCTAAGTGAGGCTGAGGTTCTGGATAGGCTTAAGGGAATGAATACCAACAAAAATACTTCAGGCAGGAGATTTGTGAAACATTGACAGACATTATAAGGCAGCTAATCACCACTGGAGACTGGAAGCAAACAACGTGGTTCCAATATTCAAGAAAGGTGACTGAACCACACCTTGTGACCACAGATGCATAATTGAAAAGCTGATGCAGTTAATCATTAAAGAAAGGAAATAGAGGTATTAAACGGGGTGCCTCAGGGGTCTATACAGGGAACCTTCCTGTTCTTTGCATTTATTAATGACCTGGATTCACAAACTCAGTGGAAAGTTAAATTGATTATTCAAACAACAAACTGCATTTATAATGCCTTTCACATCAGGAGGATGTCCCAAGACGCTAGACAGTGTAGTGTTTGCAACCAAGCTGGTAGTTGGAGTCAAGAGAGGTGGGCGCAAGATGACCGAAGCCATGGTTGAAGAAGGTTTTGAGACGGGCTTTGAAGGAGTTAAGGGTGCAGGATGGAGTTCCAGAGGGTGGGGGCAGAAAGGTCTTGGTTAGGCCTGACTGCTGATGGTGGAGTGGGCAGGGTGGGGGACATGGAGCAGACCAGTGCCTGCCGAGTGCAGGGAGCAGACAGCTTGGTAAACTTTTAGTAGGTCGCAGAGCTAGGGAGGAACAAGTCCATGGAGGACTGAGGTGATAGGCTCACAGAGCTTAGTGCAGGAGAGGACACGAGCTGCAGAGTTCTGAATAATGAGACAGCAAAGGACTTACAAAGAGAGTTTGATTGATATGCACATGGCTGATAACTGGCAAATAAAGTTCAAAACAGATAATTGCTTATAGCAAGTAAACTAGGAAGAACATGTAATCCATGAGCTAGATGGAACTTGCCAAGGGGGAACCTGAAAGAGATGTAGGTGTCAAAAAAGTGTGAGCAACAATAATCAAGGCAAACAGGATGCGCAGTTGTATGGCTACATCAGTTGAGTTCATATCCCCAGCAGTTATGCTTTTGCTCTGAGCTAGGTATAGTTCTGGTCACCACAACATAAAGAAGATGTCCAGGCTCCAGAGGCAGGCCAGTAAACAGAAATGCGCATAATCTGAAGTATTAGAAAAATGATCTGTGAGCAATGATTTGACAAGTTAAAGCCCTGTAACCTTGGGAAGATACATCTCAGAGGGGATTTACAGAGATATGTATGATTGTATATGGTATTGAGGAATGCCAGGGCAAGAGGGCACAGATTTTTCACATCTGTCAGAACTTGCAGTATTAAATCAGTCCATCTATGGTGATGATTGTGGAGGTATGGTTCTTTAATACTGATGGTTTTCTCCTATATTGTTGAGTGGTATAGCAAACCTCTTTGGGTTGTATTATATTAGTGCATCACACTGAATGGACACATGGGAAATAGATCTGAGTGCAGCATTTATGTAGAGGAAGTAATTTACCTGCTGCAAGTGGCTCAAGTAGTCTGCAGGAAGAAATAATGATAACTGGGCCCACGGGCTGAAAGAGACACACATTTGACTGAAAATTCCAGAAAATGTCACATTTATAACCAAAGAGAAGCTACATACTGAAATGTACAAATTTGTACATGAAATGGGATTGAAACAATGGCATGGAGGGCACTGAATAGTTGGAGATAAAAAGAAATAATTTACTTCAGGCATTAGATGCATATATAAATAAAGTAACAGGATGAAATTTGTGTGACGTTTCAGATCACATGGGTTGAGAATATGGTACGTGATGTAAATATTTATCACATCCCATACTACATTTCCCTCACCCCCACGTCTCAATGTTTACCTCAATCTTTCTGATATTGCAAAAGTATCTGTACCAGTACAGATCAATACAATTAACCTCACAACAATCTTATAAAAAGTTGTAAAAGAAACATAAAAGACATTAACATAATTTTTTTCTTTGTACTGACTGGAAATGCGGTAGTTTTGAAAGTTTTCAAACCAAGCTACTGAGTATTCCACATATGTATATGGTTTCTGTTTGTATAACATGGGATGCTCACTTTTTTCCCAGAGGTAGTCACCCTGTTTGCCTAATCTCAGAGTTTAGATGCAGGTTGGCAAGACTCAAGTTTTAGGAATCACACAGTGCCCATTGAGATAAACCTGAAGTTTAACCAGCTATAACTGGAATGCTATTGTGAAATAGCACAGATTAGACTTCCAATTTAGCCGTAGAAAGCAGTCACTGATGCTATGTTTATGTACCATGTCAGCCTGTTTGGGGGGTCAGACGGATGTTTGACTTATGTGGAAACCCCATCACCATGCTTAAGAGTATCCAAACCAAGCTGAGAATTCCATGCATCCCACCTAACATATGGAAATCCCAGAAATAGATTGGTGGAATGGAATACGCACTCTCTCCCTGGAGGGACGTATCCTGCTTACATAATTCCGGAAAGTATAAGGCCTTGGTTGGCAAGCGCCAAGGCTTGGGTACCCCAGAGTGTGCATTGGGGTAACTGCTGCAGTCTAACCAGCTAAAACCACATAGCTTGCCGTTGATATTGCTGTCTGCCAAGCATTCCTGCTGTGTGTCCAGCTAGGACCACCCTACAGGTGAGGGCTTTGGCTTGCAGGGTTAACAGGAGCTGAGTGGGATGACTCTCTGCCTCTATAAAATATGTATTCTTCTTTGGTCCCGTACACCAGTCTGATCTCGTCAATCCCAGTTTTCCAAACAATGCGGATTCCTTGGGATTGATCTTGTCAACCCCAGTCTCTCTGACTGGTTTCTTATCTGTGCTGAGCTGCGGTCTTGTGTTATTCTGCAGATATTTAAATAACATTAGATTAAAGAAGCTAGCAGCAATTAAAGGGTTGAAAGGGAGTGTTAAGCTAAACAGAGGCATTGTGAGAAAACAATCAAGGTAAAAAAACACCAAATGCAATTAGTCAGAGTTGGTTAGAATCTAGATACAAATAGACAAGGCGGAATTGCTGGTGACAAAATATCTGGCATTGAACTTTGTGTATTGGGTCTTGTCTTAACCATATATGGGTAAAACATATTGAGAATTGAGGTACAAGATGTGTGCGTTTAGTAAAGGAATGAACAGGGTCAACTTGTTTCCCTGAGGAATCGGGTAATAGCGTTTTCTCTGTAAATTTACCGTTTTAATCTTTGTGCAGGTTAATTTTATACTCTGGACTGATCCGAGTGTTCCCAGCGACTTCTGTTTTTGTTAACTTTAAACTTGTTGGCCGAATAAAATCGCTTGTCATTGCATCACCATTTTGATAGTCTTCCGAATCTCGCTGACTTACCCCCCCCCCGTGTCTGGTTTGCCCTTCCAGGTCCTGCCAATGAGCCAGGCTAGCTGTCCTGTCATCAGTCCGGCTTAATTGTTAGCACTCTCATAAATTAAGCCCCACATTAAGACTTTAAATGTATAATAGGCTGTTGCTCTAACGCAATGCTTGGGGTGTGTTACATTGTGGGAAATGCAGTCCTTTGGATGAGATGTAAACGCAGGTCCTGTCTGCCTGGACATTTGGTGGCAATACAATTAACACGTATTATATACCATCTTTCACATTGGAAGGAGGTCTCAAAATGCTTTACACAACTGGCTGGGAATCTTAGCGGGCTGGGAGGGGGGGAGTGGGGGGAGATGAAGAGGGTGGGGGAACAGAGGCAAGGCTCTTTATGCTGGGATTGTTGTAAACTAAATGAAGTGGCATACATGCTGTCAGTGAACTTTAACATCACACAATGTGACTTGATCCTGCAAGCTGTCTGTGTACCATCATGTACACTGTATGTCTCCAGGCTGATATAACCTTATGTCTCCAGAAGCAGGAGCACAAAAATGGAGATGTAGTCAATTGAGCTCTGCTTCCCCCCCTGTTGCCATTACTTTCATTCTGACATTGTGTAGACTCACTGCCAGTGCCAACATGATGAGCAAGACAGCGTGGAGTGATGTGATTGACTGTCAGGTAAGTAATTTGATACATAACAACTTTTGGCACTTGTCAAATTCTGTAAACATCTTTCTGATAATGTGAAAGATATTCTGTCCTCAGCTGAAGGTAGCACGCAAAGCAAAGATTAATGCTGGGCACAAAAAAAATGTATAATTCCTGGATGTGCATCAGTCTGAAAACACATCTCCTATTTGTTTGAGGGCTTTCATACTAGCATTATATGACTGCTGCAAATTGCTACAGTAGTTCAGTAGAAGCCTAATGATGTGCTGCAACACAGAAATACCATCTCGTAGTTATATCCTGCACAATGATGTGTTAATGGCACTGGCAGGGCAAATGTAATTTTGTTGTTGTTGAATAAGCATTGTATATACTCTGCCAAATGGGACTCTGAAGGCAAATCCTGAACAATAGTAACTACAATAATAAACATTTACAATAGTATAGTACCTTTAATGGGGTCAACTTCCACATGTATGTGGATGACACCCAATTATACCTCTCTGCCTCCACCCTTGACCACTGCTGTCCTGACAGAATGTCTTCCAGACATCAAATCTTGGATGAGAGCTAACTTTCTTCAGTTGAATGTCAACAAGACCGAGGCTCTCCTGATTGGCTCCTGTCAGCGCCTCCTCACCTCAGGCGCTGACAGTATCACCATCCATGGTTGCACACTCCACCTTACTAAGTCAACGGAACCTTGTGGTCTTGTTTGGCCCTCAACTATCCTTTTTACCCCACATCTGCACTGTGACCCGCTCTACCATCCCCCACCTCCGCAACATCGCTCGGCTCCGACATTGTCTCACCCAGCAGGCCGCCGAAACCCTCATACTTGCCTTCATTAAATCCAGGCTCGACTGTGCAAACTCATTGCAGTCGGCCTCCCCAACTCTTCCCCCTGTAGGTGCAGAACATCCAAAACTCTGCAGCCCGCACCAGGCTCTGTGACCCTATCACCCCCATCCTCGCCCTACTCCACTG